CATTTCTGTGGTCATGTGGCCGGCATGACTAAACACCAAGGCGCACGGAACGCTGTTACCTTCCCACTGAAGTGGTACCTATTTATCTACTTGCAATTTCTTGCTTTCGAACTGCTAGGTTGGCAGGAGCTGGAACTAGAGACGGGAGCTCACTCCGTCATGCGGCATGCCTCACAAATGTTGAAAAGGAGGCCCAGGTAGCTGCTCTGCAGATTTCTTCCACTGTTGCTCGTGTGGAAAACGCTGCTGTTGCCACTGCTGCTCTTGTGGAGTGCGCGATCACCTGACCTGGCAGTGTAAGTCTTTGCATCTCGTAGGCCTTGGTTATACATTTTCTAATCCAGTGGGCCACTGTGGACTTTGAGACCCTCTTCCCCTGGTTCGGGTTCGAGTCTGACCTTCGAAGGGGTGCTGTCCTGTCAAGATATATACGGAGGGCTCTCCGCACGTCTGATTTGTGCCAGGTCTTTTCTTTAGGATGCTTTGGCCTCGGGCAGAATGAAGGTAATATAATTGGCTGGTTGATGTGAAAGGCAGAGTTCACCTTGGGGAGAAAGGATGGGTCCGTCCTCAAGGAGACTTTCTGGAATACGCAGCGTTCCTTCCTAGCTGAGAGTGCTGCTAGCTCAGAGACTCTCCTGGCCGAGGTCACTGCAATCAGAAATGCCACCTTCCATGATAGTAGCCGGAGCTCTGTTGTCTTTAGTGGTTCGAATGGTGGGTTTGTCAAAGCGCGCAGCACCTTTGATAGGCTCCATGTCGGAAATCTGTCTGACTGGAGGAGCCAAATGGTTTACTCCCAACAGGAACTTCTTCACATACTTGCTTGTGGACACATTCCCCTGTGACTTGTGACCTAGGCAAGCCTGGATGGCTGCCACTTGACACTTCAGAGTATTTGGTCTAAGGCCCATCTTCCATCCCTCAGCCAAGAAGAGTACTACGTCCTTGTCTGTGGTTCGTAGTGGATGCAGTCCCTTGGGGGATGCCCACTTGGAGAAAGCCGCCCATGTGTGACTGTAGATGTGCCGGGTTGATGGTCTCCTTGCTTGCAACATAATGCCCACTACATCTCTGGGGAACCCCAGATCCTCTAATCATGTGTGTTCAATTTCCATGCAGTCAACTGTAACCATGCTGGGTCTGGGTGGAGGATGGGCCCCTGGTGTAGGAGATCTGGCCTCGATGGTAGCATCCATGGCATCGTGGAGGACATTTGTACCAGATCCGAGAACCATGGCCTTCTTGGCCAGTGTGGGGCTATGAACACCACTTCTGCCCTGACCTGTCTGATTCTGTTGAGTGTCCTCCCGATGAGTGTTGTGGGAGGAAAGGTGTATAGGAGACCTTCTGGCCACGGGTGAGACAGCATGTTGACTCCTTCCGCTGCTGGGTCTTGGTATCCGGACAGGAACCTCTCAACCTGATGCAGGAACTGGAGAGGTCAGCCTAGATCACTCCAAAAGAAGCCACGCAACAAAAGAAATTTGCATAGCCTATCTGAGCGAGCAGAGGTGTGACCTAACCTCTTCCGGGATGACTCCCCCCCCCCCCACTGAAGGAGAATGTTGTGTGCTCAACAGGATGAACACAGTTTGCTGAACCAGAAAATGAGCCCACAATTTAAACCAAACTTATAAACTATGGTTTGATCCTGGTTGGCAATCTTGGCTTGGAATGTGACTGCAAACAGTTTATCAGTTTAGTTATAATGGCAAACTATGGTTTGCACTAAAGTGAGCTCATTAATTGACTCCAAGCATGGGAAGGTTGTGACCTCACCAGTACAACCTGCATCAGAGGAAAGCCTGTTACACTTGAATTTACAGGCACTCTCACCTCTAAACTACCCCAGGGTCCCCTAAAGCATTGTTCCTGAGTCTGTGGATAGTCCTGAAGGGGACACACATATGATCATGGGAGCTTGACAAAGATATGGGCCCTGGAGGTTGCGGAGACAGACCATCTGTCTTTTCTACAGAAACGACGGCTGAGGGGTAACATAATCGAGGTTTATAAGATTATGCATGAGATAAAGCAGGTAGAGAAAGAAGTACTTTTCTCCCTTTCTCACTCAATGGAATTGCTGAGCAGTCAGGTTAGAACAGATAAAAGGAAGTACTTCTTCACCCAAAGAGTGATTAACACATGGAATTCACTGCCACAGGAGGTGGTGGCGGCTACAAGCATGGACAGCTTCAAGAGGGAATTAGATAAGCATATGGAGCAGAGGTCCATCAGTGGCTATTAGCCACAAGGTGTAGATAGGAACTCTCAGTCTGGGGCAAGACAAGAGATGCACTGTATTCTTGGTACTTGGGGGTGGGGCAAGAGTGGGAGGGCTTCTAGTGTCCTGGCCCCACTGCTAGACCTCCTGATGGCACCTGGCATTTTTGGCCACTGTGTGGCAGAGTGTTGGACTAGACAGGCCATTGGCCTGATCCAACATTGGCTTCTCTTATGTTCTATGCACAATCTTCTCCCCCCCCCTCGTAAGTATCAGAGTTCTCAGCATTCCAGCACATCCCAATATGGAGATCTTCTTTCTCTGAAAGCTCCTTTGTCTTCCTGATGTGTAAATCCCCTTTAGCAACACTTCTCTGCAAAACACCTATTCTGTCCTTTATGGCCCCTTTCCTGGGCCAAACTTCCTTTAAAGAGTAAACATTTCTCTGAAAAGCAGATTTATGATCCTCTTCCTGGGCTATTCTCTGGGTTACTAAAAACATATTAACTTTGAAGTATCAGATAATATCAGCCATCAATCCTATATGAACACTCCAGGATATATCCACTAGGGTACCATCACACCTTTTTGATGGCAGTTTGTGAAACCACTTGGTCCTTTGTTTGGACCCATAATTCTGCCCTGCAGGACACCTTCTCTAGTCTATAAAACAGCTCCATGTGTCACTCTAGGGCGCCTAACAAAGTAGCACCCCCCAAACTCACAATTTGGGTCCCCTTTTGTTCGTGATACACTGGTCGTTCACAATCTCCATTCCACAGACTTATGAATGTCAGGATGGCAGATCATACCCCATAACTCCCTCTATGTCTGTAAGCTCCTCTGTTTCTCTGCGGCCTTGTTTGCATGTGTTATTTGATTGCTTTGGTGTGTATGATTTACATTTAACGAGTATTTTTCAATAAAACAATCTGCCTTTCACACTTAGTCCCGATCATTTTGAGAGTCTTCCTCCTTGAAACTGACCCTGGTATGCACAGGTGTAGATCCCAACTGTTATACCCATTTTGTCACTTTGGTCTCCCTGCTAATTCCCCCATCTAAAACGGAGATTGACCAGTTTGGTAACAAGATGAGGAAGCACATGACTACAGAGTTCGTTCACAGAGAACCAAAGCATGATTTGGTGTTACTTCTTTTTTATACAATATAATTTTATTGATTTTGAAGATTTGATAATAAAATATCTTACATGTATAAATTGGTGTAACAATACAATAACATTTATAAGTCCGTTGTGTACCAGATTTCTCCCATAGATTATGAATAGTGAACTACATAAATTTTAGCAATCAAGTATAGAGGTCCTATTTTCTGTCATCCATGTCTTAACTTTCATAACAATAATTTATTGTAGATGTTAACGATTTGCAGTGCCTATCAATACTCATTACCAAAACTTATACACTCGTTACCAAATATGTAAAGTATCTATTTCCTTAGGAGTATCATCAAATTGTTGTAAGTACTCCAGTATAGGGAACCAAATAGTTGTAAAGGAGGATTGGGCAGGAATTTTGTCAAGTCGCGTAATTTGGTGTTACTTCTGAAGCCTGGTATGTTGTTTTCAACAGCTGTACCAAGTTCCAAATTCTCTTCTTCTAGAAACTTACCCAAAATTGCAAGCCTTTCCAAAGTAAAGAAAAGCTTTAAAAAATTCATCCTGGCTTTGGAAGCCAGGGATAGGAAGCTACTTAAGGTATAGTAATAAGGGCAGTCACCTATCCTAAGCCCTAAGTATGCTATAAGGCTAAGAAGCGAAAATGGCACCTAGTCAGAGGACAGCAATCAAAATATCCAAGTCATCAAACTACTACTGTGATCTGAAGAGGTAAATATTGGTAATGAACAGTAAAGAGAGCTACTATCAGCAGAGTTAGCCCAAGCTTAGATTTTGGAGGTGGGGGGGTGCATTCATGTGCTACACAGCAGCCATAGAAGTGCCCTGCTGGAGTGGACCAATGATACACTTTGTCCTGTATCTTGTTTCCAAGAAGCAAACCAGCAGGGCTTGGTTTGGCTCCCCCTCCCCCAGCCCCACTCTTTGCCCCTCCTTAGCCATCAGTATTCAGTAGCATACCTCCATTAAACCTGACTAGTTCATTTAACCATAATGGCTAACAAGTGTTGATAGACGTAAACTAAATTTCTTTTAAGGTATCGGAGAACCCCATAAGAGTGGTTCTCATCGAGTACATAATTCAATTTCCAGTTTCACCTTGCAAATGCTCAAAAGTTGACTTTGGTGGTTATGTCCACAATATCAAACTCTGTGCATGAGAGCAAATATACACAGTGACTTTACATTAGACTGGAAGCCAACATGCACTAATTGTTTGCCCTCATGGCAATCACATCCTAGAAGGTCTGATTATGGTAAGCAAATGGGTCACATTATAATGTACCTACCCGTTATTTATGAGAAACAGCAATAGAAGCATCACTAATTCCTTCTGGGTGAAAAACAACTGTTTTGTAAGGAACGCTGGCATCCATTTAGGAGAAGAGGCGTTTAAGAAAGCAGTGTGTACTGAGCTGTGGCCGAAAAGGGCAGCCACTGATGCCCAGATGAGGAGGGTTCAAACTGTTACCAGATAAACTATCTGGAGTTCCAATTTTAAAAAAAGACCCTGTTTACTATGGTAACCTCATTAGCACTTTAAATACATCTGGTTAGCTTTTGAAAGCCGTATGCACGTGCCTTTGAATGTCAGCTTCATTATCTGGTAGCATTACAGAGCAGATTACTTACGTTACAATTGGAAGAACCATCAAGAGTTGGGTAAGGACCATCAGGCCAGTCAGAAGAGTCCATGCTGCCTGACTGCCGATGTTGTGCTTCATATTCCTTAAGCTGAAATTAAAATCACATACCTTAACCAATACATTTTAGCGCATTCTAATTTTGTTTAAAAATGTGCAGCTTTTACAACAGAAAATTATTGTAAAAACTAAGTGATCTACCAAAACTATACATTTCAGCTTGTTCATATTATGCACTGTTATTGTGACAGTACCTGCTTCCCACTTTCTAGAAAGTTCAACAGGGACACAGATATAGATAAGAAAGGGGGGGGGGACCTCAGGGAACAATCCCAAGAGGATATACTCAGAAATAAGTCCCATGTTATTCAATGGACCTTACTCCCAAGACTGTGTCCTTAGGACTGCAGCCTCAGTCTCCTACATCTAGAAATGAATGAATGTTTACATTTTCCAAGAAGGAGTATTAATATGCAAACTAAGGGGGGGGGAATCAGCTCTTTTGAAGTTAATGGAGAGAAAGCTAAGTGTAAACTGAAATTTTAGCTTCAAAGCACTACTGCAGAGTTGATAACACTTTTATCAGCAGAGCTGCTGAGTGTTTATGTTTAATTAAGCTATGATGCAATTTACATTTATATCTGTATCAATCAATCTATAGCTATACATAGGCCCCGGTCACACGGGAGGTTTTGGGCCGGAAGAGGGACGGATCGGGGGCGCAGCAAACGGGCGTGAACACACTGCAACATCTGGGAATCGGCGTGCACCTGTCCCCGATCCGTCCCTTCCGGCCTAAAACCCGCTGCAAAAAAAACCCCAAGTAAAAGGTAGCACCAACCTGGAACGGCACAGCAAGTGTGGCCGTGAGATCGCCGGCGCGCCCGTCTGCAGGAGCAATTGAGGCCCCCGCCCGAACTGCGCGCGTGCACACATGCGCAGTTCGGCTGCCTCGCTCTCCCTGCAGTGGCTTCCCCCCAGCATCTGATCGTGCCGGGGAGCAACTGCGCGGCGGCTCAGGGAATCTATCTGATCCCGCCGCCGCATGTCTCTTTTGGTGCGGCTTTAAAAAGCCGCACTTCGGCCGTTCTTTTTCCCCCCGTGTGGCAGGGGCCTTAGATACACAGACACACACACAGAGAGATACATATGTGTATGTATGTATGTATGTAGGTACCACTCAGCTGAACAGGAAAAGCACACTGGAACAGTGAAACTTAACAGTGACTAATCATAAACCCGCCTTACTTCAGAGCTATGTGCTCGGTCAGAAAGGGCAGAAATGAGCATATTGTAGTCTCCCTGTTCAAAACAATTTAAAAAGTTATATCTTTTCTGACCTTATTTCTTCTTAGAAATTGCCAACCAGAATCTCCCAGGTTGTTTGGTTCCCAGTAAATATGGCAATTCACCCACATAAAGGTAAAGGCAACCAGGGGTCTTGTTGTAGAAAAAGAGCTGCCGGAGCTCATTAGCATAACTCATTAGCATAACTTTTGCATATGCCACGCCCCCTGACATCACCGGAAGTGACAGAAGGCCACACCCCCTGACATCACCGGAAGTGTGTCAGAAGGCCCGGCTACTTACCCTCCTGCTTCATCCTCATTCCCAAACGGAATGAGGATCGAAGCAGAGGGCGGGGTAAAGAAGGGGGCGGGGCTTCACCACGTGACCACCCCGCCCCCTAGAGGTTCTCTTCCGGAGCTCCGTACCTGAGAGCTCCCCCCCGACTAGAGCCCTGAAGGCAACTATTCCCAACACATACCCTTGCAAGTGCTTCCTCAATAGTGATCATCTTTTCCTTGACCATCATCATTAGCTGGATCCGCTCCTCATCACTCATTGTGATCTCACTAGCCACGTAACCAACATCTTCTCCTGAAGGCAGATGGGAAAAAAAATGGAAGAATAAATATTTTATAGAGCAAAAGCAAGATCAAGCATACTACTGAATCATGATCTCCCCTGTGTTCTGATCTTGGTTTCCAAGTTAGTGAAGTTATCTAGGTTAACATTGATCTATATTTTGAGGGACATGCCAATATTTTTATTTAAAGACAGGAACAATAATAAACACATTTATCTCCAGTGACCTATTTTGCTTTCTCAAATCAATACAACTTTGAAAGAAGGTACGGCCTAGAATACATTTATTATGCCTCAAAATCATTACAGAAAATGGTAGAACAGCAAAAGAAGTGTTTATTTAAACTCTGGTGTGCTGGTAATTTTAAAAGAGCTGTTTTGCATTGTAAATCTGTTTCTATTGTTCTAGTACAAATGTGCTGTATTTACAGTCTCTCATGTCTTAGGAAGTATCTTAGGTAGTACCTGACTTTGAATGGATAATATAGCAAACAGCAATGGCATAAAATGGCACTTTACCTAAACCTTGAGCTTAGGATATAAGAATTGCTGCATTTTAATACAGTAAATTGTTCCCCAGCTTGCACTCAAAGAAAAACAGCAGGGTGCTACTATAGGCTTGATAATGATTGCTTTAATATATTTAAATTAAACCTCAGCAAATATACGTACACCGAATACTATATTTTTACATATATAACATACACACCTTTTAATTTATCAGGAAAAGTTCAATGGGCCAGTGACAATGCACATATAAACTTGATAATTACTGTGGATGGGATACAGTTGCCAGGCCCCTTCGGCTTGTCGGCAGGGGGATTTGGGGGCGTTCCGGGGGTGGGTAGGGATGTCGCGTGATGTCCCCTACGCGATGACGTCATGTGGAAGTGTCGTCATCATGTTGGGAATGTCCTGCAGCAACACTCTGCATTTTGGGCAAAACTCTATGATTTTTTTTGGCCTAAACACACAGAGGTTTGCCCAAAAAGCAGAGTGTCACCGTGTGATGTCCCAATGTGATGACGTCACTTCTGCATGATATCATAACATTGGGGTGTGGGGGTGGGACTTTCCCCACTGGCCAAGTGGCTGACAGCGGGCAGAAACCCAAAAAATCAGGGGAACCCCCGTCTGGACTGGGGGTGTGGCAACCCTAGGATGGGGGTGTACAACTTGACCAACGTTAGAAATGCAGAAATTTTCTTCCATATTATTCAGCCCAACTTGAATCAGTAAACTTCATGCACATTATCACCATATTATTTACATAAGAAAACACACATACAATTTGCTTCTGCAATTGTTACAGTGAGCATAAGTGGTATATTGAATAAATAAGTGTGCATACCATCAAACCCTATTAATTTAAATAATACTGGAAATCCACACAGATAATTACTTTGTCCTTTTGTACCCTTAGAAGTTCATTGTTTGACCTTCTATCTTTTCCAGCATCAGGGTCTTCTCCAGTGAGTGCTCCCTTCTAATTTGGTGGCCAAAGTATTTGAGCTTCAGTTTCAGTATCTGGCCTTCCAGGGAACAGTCAGGGTTGATTTCTTTTATGATTGACTGATTTGATCTCCTTGCAGTCCAGGAGACTCTCAAGAGTCTTCTCCAGCACCATAGTTCAAAAGAATCTATTCTTCGGTGCTCGGCTTTCCTTATAGTCCAACTCCCACAGCCATACACTCCTACTGGGAATATCATTGCTTGGACCATGCGGACTTTTGTTGGCAGGGTGATGTCTCTACTTTTTATCATGCTGGTTAGGTTTGCCATCGCTCTCCTCCCCAGGAGCAGGTTCTAACTGTCGCTTCTTGACCCTTATACAGGTTTCTCAAGAGACATGTGAGGTGGACTGATACTCCCATCTGTTTAAGGACCTTCCATAGTTTGTTGTGATCCACACAATCAAAGACTTTAGCATAGTCAATGAAGCAAGTAAAAGAGACCAAAAAATAGGGGTGAGCATATTCTGCAGGGTCTCAGAATCAAACTACTATGGTTGATTTCCAGGACTCACTTTTTGATCAGAGAAAATGCTTTGGTCTTGCTCATCTCAAAAATATCACTAATCGACATTCCAACTTTCAGTAGTTTCTCATCTGGGGCTTTCATCCAAGTTGATCTGTGGGTATCCCAATTTAAAGTGGCTAACAAACTATCTTCAGCACAGAGCTGTTTTAATCTCAGTTTGAGGGCAAACAGCCATTCTTTTGCTTCCAAGGATATCTGTCTAAATTCTGCCCATAATATGACATTTGACACGCAGCAAGGAATATTCAATTTTTTCCTTAAGAACTGGGCTTGTGGTTGATTGATATTATCCGAGATAGCTTTAATCCAAATAGCTGAATTGCAAAGAATGAGTCAAGCCATTTTCAAATTAAAGGCTTGCACGGCTCCAGGAATATATTCCCCCTCTCTTATTATGGAAGAACCTATTTATGGCGCTTGCAAAAGGTTTTGCTTTATTAAGTGCTGTTTTAAATTGGGGGTCCAAGATACATCTTCCGAGAACAGAATCATCAATTAGGAGAAGGCCTTGATTTGCTCAATATTGGAACCGTTGATAGACCGCTGAGATGGGTTCCATTTTCTGGTCTTGGTGAAAACTAGGATCTTAGATTTTGGGTAGTTAATCACCAGGCTTACTCGACAGCAATAACCGGAGATAATTTAACTAGAACTAATATTTTCAGTTATTAGATCATGTCAGTACAGTCCTCAGATAACTCAAGGATCACTTGGATTATATATCAGAAATCAAAGTATGTAAAAATCTCCAACATGCTGAATGAAGTTGTGAAAAGATTCTCATTGTGAGAAGGTTCTTATTTTCTTGAAATTCTGAGCTATTTTGATCAACTAACATACACACTTATTAGCTCAATTTAGGTTAACATTTAAACATTTATGTACTATAACACCATACAAGCAGAGTTAGGAAAATGCACACAATTAACATTATCCAAGTAGTGTTGGAGATATTTCAAATCACCCAAATAAGTTCTAATGAAGTGTGAAGACATCTGAAATGTAAGACAGACAATATTCAGACAAAGTCAGAAAAGTAAATATCATCATAGATGTTCCTTGATGTTGGCAAGCTCTGTTGTGTTCTGTATGGGTGTATTATACATACACAGGAGTAGAGGGAAGGAGAGGAAGTTTACATATAAATAACTGTTTGGAGAACTCAGAATTCATGCTGCAGGCGCTGTGCCACAATCTGGTTTTTCAGCTCATTATCAAAAAGCATCAGGCAAAAACTGGCATCTAAGAGATATCAAGTCCTCAGAGCTCAGAGTCAAGGGATAAACAATTGTATCTATAAGATAATTTGACATATATCGTTTTTCAAAACTGCATCGCTAAAGCTGTACTCTTAAATGGACTGTAACCCTAATGAAGTCCACCAGGTTTCCTTTTACTATGACTGCATATAGGATCTCAGTCTACGACCTTAATTCTAAACAGAATTAAGTTGAACTTTGAGAAATAATAATTTAAAAAACAAGAACAGCCAGAGCTGAAGCTGTTTTTATATACCTATATGAATTGTGAAAACACACGGAACACTACCTTCAACCCCAGCTGAACTTGAGCTTAGTATGGAATAGCTCTGAATAGTTCCACAGGTCTGGAAAAGGTTTAGAAAGCCACGGCACATGGACCAAATTTCTAACACTGCGGAAATAAACTGAACAAAAAAGTACCATGAGGGAATTGATGCCATTCTTATTGCAGTTTAGTAGTAAACACCCTGGTTACAGGCTCATTAGCTTTAAGAAGCTGCTTATAGAATTAAAACGTGGACTTATAGTAGAATAACATTTTAAAAGGTGTACCTTTCGAAGACTGCCTCATTAGCCCCTTCTGATTCTTTCGAAAATTTTGCCAGAAATACTTGTTCTTCTTTTTCCAATCTGCTTTACCTACAGAGAAACACAGAAGAAACATAAGCATTTTTACTTGTTTAAAGATAGAAACTCAATGTCTTATCTTCACTTTCCTTTTTTAGTTATTTTTCTTTTTCAGAATTCAGCTTGCTACTTTTGAGATACAAAACATTTGTGTGCACTTTCTAGTTACCCATATTTAAAGTAAAGGTGGAAGATGGAGATAAAATAAAACAACAGAATAAGAAGGGCTCAGAGGAGCTGGCTCTGTCAGTGAGATAATTTTTTAAAGGGCAGAGGGAGAAGAACAGGGTGGTGTGTCTCTCACATTTACAGGGAGAGTAGAACATCTTCAGAGTTTAAACCCCTCTCCCTTCCAACTTTATCTGTCCAGCTAGCAAGAGATACAATGCCCAAGGAAATGCTGTTTTAAAGGGACATACTAGTACAATACTCTTTACTGATCAAAAATAACATATTTTGTGAGGGGAAAAAAATTCCTGGAGTAGGAAGATAAATTAAACTATTTCAAGGGGACTGAAAACAATGAGATAGGTCACCGCTCACAATGGTCTTCAAAATAGCGAAAAGTACTAAATCAGAAGAAGTATACTGACCTACAGAGCTTTCTTCAGAACTTGATTTATGGAGGGAGAGCCTAAAATGCAAAGAGAAACGGAATGATTGCAGCAAACTTCACATGTCCCATGGGAGCTGTCTAGTTACAGTAAGCCAGAGTTTGGAGCATCAAGAGTATCCCCCTCTCCTTTTCTTATGAATGCACATTACAGCCAGCAAGAGTTGCTGAGCTCCAGCCATATTTATACAAAGGCATTAGCTCAGCTCCAGTCTGAAAGCTCTGAAACAAGCTTCTTGTGACTGATGCAGAAAAATATGTATGGAGGACAAAAGAGTTAAAGTTACAGGGTCAAAGGGGAATGTGTGGAAGAATGTCCTTCTCTCCCCTCCCCTCCCCTCCCAGTTAGCCTCACAGAAAATGAGCAGAACTACTTCTCCAAAAAAGCTGTGGTACTATAGCTACGCATTTAAGTCTGCATTTGGGCCCTATGCCTGTGGCCCTTTTTTTCTGCAAGAGACACAATCCTTTTTATTTGAAATTATCCATTTATTACCTGGAGTTTAAAATCAGATGCAGAATATGGAAATTGCATAAGAGGGTACAGCAAAGGTTGATTACCAATATATTGAATATTACAAATTGTTAGCTTAATACAATAAACAAATAATTGCCACTATATTACTTTCTTGGAGAACAGGGCCCATTCAGCCTGCCTCCTCATCCCCACCCCCACCCCAGGCAAGTTATATGGGAAGCATTATGACTTGGAGAAAGAACTGGAAGATCCAAGCCCATGAAACAGGTGCTCTTGGCTCCTTTCCTCGTACTGCTATTTTTCTCCTTCACCCTACAATGGCAGGTTTTCTGGGCATTTCCCTCCCATGAAAGAGAAAAGGGCTTGCAGCCAGCTGGCCTTCCTTTTAAAAAAATCACCACTACTGCATGCCTTGCAGACTCTACCCATTCCTAACGTGCCCAGACAACCCTACTCAACTCATTTAGAGCTACACAGCATGAAACATACTCAAGCAGTATCCAGAGAAGTTGGATGCTACATCTGCAGCAGGAAATAATACCTTCCAGTGCCAGTTATAGCATGCAGGGCTGCTTTGGATGTTTTGGCTATATCTTATTAGGGGCTAGCAGGGTCAGCCCTGGTTAGCATTTAGAAGGGAGGCCATTCCCTCTAAGATGTAGAGTCTTGTGAGCAAAAATCCTACTTGGTGAGCTGCTGGCATTAAAGTTGTGAGCGAGTGATTTGGCTCCTGCATAATTTAGTTTGCTGTGGAGCCCTCCTTCCTGAGCTAAGACAAATATGTGTGAGCCAGAGGCTAAAAAACTGTGAGCTGGCTCACACTAACTCAGCTTAGAAGGAACACTGCTCTGTACCATTAGGAATTGTTCCCCTGAAAACAGAGATGTTCTGACAAAAGGCAGAGGAAAGGGCAAACAATGTGTCACTGAGACAGAAGTCATAAAAGCTACTTCCCCCCACCATGTATTTAAACAAAGCTCCAGAACACTGTGGGGTTATTCCTAGTCATGTTTCTACGCTAGTTTGTAATGAAATTCTACACAGCAACAAGAATTTATAAGTAAGCTGAGAAAAATACAGCTTAAACAAGCTTGCTTCAATTTAATTTTACACATTCCTGCAAAACAATGATGTGTTACTGACAATACTTGAAAGGGGTTTTTTTTAAGTTTCTTTGAGACCAGTGGAGAAAGTTCAGATTCAAAGCAATATCAATTATTCTGCTATTACCCAAACTGCATTACTAAAGTCCTATAAAGTTCTGAACTGTAAACACACAAAACCAGATGATTATTTTTTATTATTTTTTAAATTGTAAATTCATCTACACCTTTACTGATCAAAAATAACATCTAATAGTATTTCAAAATCTGAAATACTATGTGGTCTGCATTTTCTAAGATTAGCAGCAGAGGGCACTGCAGAGGTTTTTAAATAAACCATCTACTCTGAAATGACACCAAACTGTATTTTGTTTTAGATCAGCGCACAATGTAAATGATCCAAGTCATTAGAGGCCAACAGTTTATAAGCATGAAAAACATAATCATCAATTTGCAGAGACATCATGAAAGGGGAAATGATAGCATGAAGTTTAATTTTGATTCAGTAAACTCATCCAAGCAGAGGCAGTAACAGCAGTGCTTGGACACGGCAAATCATCTTTCTTCTTCAGTCTGATTAGAAATTTAATCCAGAGCAGCCAGCCAGGCAGCCAACTGATACAACCAAATTCCAGACCTGGACGGCAGCAGGTGCATGCTGGAAGAGGGACACCACTAGTTTCCTTACTCATGCTGTTTACACTTGGGACAGCTTGTAAAAAGAAAATTAATGACTTGGGTGGGCTCACAGCACTAGCAGCCAAGTGTCTGATTGTACAAAAGGAGCTCAAAGAATAAACATGGAAGAACAAAACATCTCTCTCCTTCTTGGGCCTGGTTCCTGGAAGCAGCATTTGAGGCACTATTTGGAGGGTAGATCCATATAGAGTCTAAAGAATAGGGTTATTTCATGAACATTCACACCAGTTAATTTCTTACATGGTCCTAGACCACTGATCCTCATCAAGTCTTTGGGTCCCACTCCCATATAGCACTTTGTCACAAATTAATTGCTTATATCTGGGATTCATTTTGTTTTTATACTTGGGATACATTTACACACATGCACAAATAGCCATACAGCCTTCTAAATATATCACAGTCAATATTATAAAATCTGTAACTTCTGCAAAGCTGGATGTAGCTGTAACCACAGAAGTAAACACTGAAAAAAGTGTTGCCACAGGCAACAAATGACATCTAAGAAGGAAATACCCACAATGCATAGTTCTACTTTCACTACATTAGTGTAGCTATGTAGTGGCTCTAGGAATCTACAGTACCATAAAATGGCACAGGAATGATGTTGACACAACAAAGCATGTAGTCGAAGTGGGGAAAAAATACATACCACCAGAAATCTACATAACAATCATATGTTCATTCTGGGAAGCTGCAGTCTTTTAGGAACCAAAAAAAAATCAGGAAAATCCCCCAGAAAGCAGATGACATGGCTTTTTGTTTTATATCTAGAGAAGATATTGACTTGCAAACCCCAGATTCTTTTAAAAAAATTGTTTCTTGTGTAGCTTGTATTTATTTTTATTTATTTAATAAAGTTATTAGCCACCTTTCTAACTTGTGGAACGCATGGCAGCTTACAATGTAAATAAAACAGCTATTTAAAGAACAACAACACAATTGACAGTGAGTCTCTTTCACATGGGCCTGCAGGGAGTGAAAATTAAATACAAGCCAGAACATTTTCCATGTGTCAGCTGAACAATTCATCTGAAGATTCTTTTTGTTGCCGACAATGACGATCTAGCTATTACACATATAACTGAGTAGAGTTGGACTCAAACTAGAAGATATGCAAGAGATGTGTGACCAGGACACCAGGGTGTGTGCATGTGTTTTAATTAGAAAGCCCTCGAGGATGCTTTCATAATTGATGAAGCTGCACTAGGGACTCTTTCCTATATTTCCCCAAGGTTAACCTACCTCTGAAACCCCTAGGTGACATCGGGCTGGATATAGTGATCTTTTAAGCGCGTAAATGGCATTGCAAATTAATATCATAAACTGAACTTGAAAAAAGTGTATCAAGAATTATTTGGAGACACTTGGCGGGGTACATCATCTTGCAAGCAGTGTTAAGGCCTCCACTGGGATATATTTCTAAGCAACCATGCATAGGATTATGCTGTCAGGGAAGGAGGGAGGGATGGCTACTCCTGCAGGAACTCTGGATTTTAGGTCCTCTTCCTCTCTGTGCCTCCAGCCGCTATTCCTGCACATACTGCACAATCCAAATCCAAATCTGCAAAATGACAGGTGTTAAGATTCTCTCGCCTGCTGCCTCTCTCTTTGTTGCCAGACCCACTGGCTATAGGGATTCATGCTTCTATCTGAATGTCATGAAGCATAACAACAATAACAATTTAAAAAGCATTTACTGAACATTATTTCGGTAGTCCTTAAAGCTTCCTGTATAAGGTAGGTCAGTATTATTATCCCTGTATTATGGAGGGGGAGGGGCTGGGAGACTGTTGCTACCTAAGGTCACCTTGCAAATTTGTGGCATGAAGCAAATTCTGCACCAGAAATGTCTGGATTATCAGGTGGGTTTCCTAGTTTCTGTGTTATACTGACTGTTGCAGAAGTCCACTGATAGCACTCAAGAAAACCACGCTTGAAAGAGAGGTATGAATTAGCTAGCTTTAAAGTATTCACCAGATGCAAAATTCTCTCTCTTCACAAATTGTGTATGGCAATATTTGGTGCTAAGAAGACCAAAATAAAGAGAGGTGGGTATACCTCTTCAGCTGGGCATTCTAGAAAAGTAGGGTTCTACCTCTGAGTGCTGCCTGAGATATATGAATGATCAAGCGTGGAAGAAGGAATTTATGGTAGCTGAGAATAGCCTTCTTGTTTGACAATTATGCTGTTTTGACTCTACTGAACCTACAGCTTCCCTGTGACTGTGCACTGGCCATGATTTGTGCTCTTCCATTCATAGACCGACAACTCGTCCTGAAACTTAATGATGCAGTGACACTTGGCAGAAGTTTCAGCGCTGATGTCTGAAAAGCAGCCAAATGCCATTACTCCATAGCTTTGGTCTTTTGGTTTTGCTGTGCTCTGATGTACAGCTTCATTAGCAGTCTTCCAAATGAAATGCACTCCGAGGCACATCGTAAAAGGACTCAACAGACAAAATTTCACATGCAGAAGAAAGAAACAGGATACATGGCCAATTATGGACACACAGAAAGAGGCCAGTTTGCGATCAAATCCTGCCCTGACAGAAACTGAATACCATTTTAAAATGTCCAAAACTTTAATGTTTGTTTTCGGTCAATACTATTTCTAGGCTATGATGCCCCCCTTCCACTTCCCTCCCTCAGAGGCAAGATTTTCCCTCGGTTTTTCTTTCCCTTTTGTGACTGAGCAGCCCTTGTAATGTGTTTTCTTCTTTGCAGAAGAACTCTGGCTGC